ATCAGGTCCAGTAGTAGCATTACGTCCAGGAAAAACACAGAGCGAGTTTTAAATCCCTAAAAGGTGAAAGCCTCAACTTTAAAATGGAGCAAGCCCATGATAGAGATTTTATTGACCTCCTTAAAAAACAGTTGCACTGAAAAAAGGTTAGCAGCCGTCTCTAAATCCTCATATTTAAGTTTTAAGCTAAAAGTTAAGTTTCCTTTTGCCTTTTTTATACTTCACTCGCTCTTATAGCATCTGTTCTGAATCAGGCTATTTTCCCATTGCTTTAAAAATCAGGTCAGGGTTAATCTCCTGTACCATGTTTGCTTTCCAGGCATTAGTCATGAAACTGCTGATGAAAAGGTGATTTTTGGCATTGAATTTAATTCAACTTTTCTGGAATGTATTCCTAAGTCCCAGCAAGCTTCTATTAGGTGGTATATTCAACGCTCTGGAGAAGAACATCGAGAAGAGGTAAGTTATAGTCATCAAGGCAAGTTTCCTCCACAGAGAATTCATCTGAGTATTGAGAGGCAGGAGTTACTGGGATTAGTAGATGTTTTTCTTTTCCTTGCCTCACCTTAGCTATCACACGGCATTCTGGTATCACCATTTGGGGCATACAGTGGGGGGAAGAGGAGGCCATTTGCAGTGTATCTTAAGCAGTTTTGTTTATTTACTTTGGTTGTATGCTCATTCTATTAAAAAAAAGAAAAGAAAAAAGAGAGAAGTTGTGTGTTAAACAGTACTAAGATATCAGAGTACCAAAAAGTTACTTTTTTCCCCCTAGCAATTAGCAAAACTAATACTTCTATGAACAAAAATATATTCAAAGCATTTTTTTTCTGAATCAGTCTTTATTGACTTTAGTGTCTGATTGCCATCCCTTATCATGTTAAGCTATGTAGCTAAGGGCTGACGCATATGGCTCACTGCTTCTCTCCATCCCTCCCTGGGGAAGGAACAGCCCATGAAGTCACAAGTTTCTTTTCACCTTGTTTTGTCTGGTAGAGTCTGAGGATTTTATTTAAATGCTGCTCTGCACCTGTGTGAAGAAGTCGGGTTAAAGATTCACACTCTGCATCTGAAGTAGAAAGCGGTGAGATATGTGGTTGTCCCTAACTTCTGCAGGATCAGATTAGGGGTCCTCTCTGGGGGAGCAGCCCTTGGAAAGACTCCAGCTCCCTGCTCACACCCTCCATATTTTCCTGCAGATTCCTCTCCGAGCTAGCGAGAAATGAAGGGAGCCTGAGCACATTCCCAAACGGTCTACAGGTTGGGACTGTTTTGGACTGGGCTGGAGCGCATCTCCAACCTCATAAGTCTTCCTAGCCTTTCTCTTACATGAATGATTCTGCATCTGAGGCCAAGTCCTGCTGTGATTGCAACCATGGCAACAAGGAAAGAGAAGGGAAAAGAACTATCCTTTCAAATTAGCTGGTCCCAGGTGTTAGATATGCTTTTTTGTTGTTGTTGTTAAATATTCAACCTAGATAAAATTTAATTTCAATGACAGGAACTATCAAATGCACAATGGTGTTTTAAGTGTGGCCTTCCTCTCTCAATGCTCATTCATCTTGAGACCTTCTGAGTGCAAACGTGGGCTCCTTGCTTTTAAATGCCAGGGAGACCTAGGCTTGCCCAGATACCTGTGAGCACAGCCCCATTTGTTGAGATGCAGCTCACCGTGGTAAACTCAAAGCACTGCTTATAGCATGAAGGCAAGTCTCCAAGAAGTTGTCACCTTAGAGTTGCTAATTCCAGTTATGTGTTGGCCCAGATAGTGAGGGTAAGGGGGCAGGGTAGGGGGGCCTCATGTGCTTCTGATTTTCCACCAGCTGAGACAAAAATGCAGGACTGAATATTGATTGCAACACTGCAGTACTTTGAATTTTGAATTTTCTTCCTTTCTCTTGTGCTTTGGGTTGGCAAAGATTCCTTCCTCTGTGGAGAAAGAATATATCATTAATGGATAGGCATAGTATTTCCCATAGTGTAGGATTAATACCAAAGGAAGGAGGTTAATAGTTTGAAATACTATCTTAACCTCTGTTATAATCCATACTTGGAGACATACTTCTGATCAACAGGCCAAGCATGCTCATAGCCACAGGTGGTTGAACTCAAAACTTACCTTAAGCTTATGTTTATCAGTCTTTAAAGACCTATGAACATTCATGGTTTATGCTTTGAATGGTTTACCTTTAACTGCCCAGTACAAATGACTATGTCTTCCACTTCCCTAAGGCACCAGTTCAGAAAATGCACTTAGATATTTGATTATACCCATCCTCACTCAGGAAAACAAGCTAAGTAGATGCTTAATTCCAACCACGTGTTTAAGTCTCATTTTCAAATACATTTAAGCAGATACTTACTTTTTTGTTTTTCTTTTCTTTTCTTTTTTTTTCCTGAAGAGGAAATTTATACTGAGTTTTGAGGAGCCTCAATCATTATAAAAAGAATGCATTATAACATGGGCCCACATTTCTCAAAGAAAGCTACAAATTGCCTAATGTGGCCAATTCGCTGTGAAGGCTGTGTAGTTCAGAATCACGATAAGTAGCACTTTCCACTTTTGAAAGCCTGAGCTATGTACAGAGCTGTTTCTCAGGTTTGTCTATCCAAACTGAGGAGAGAGGAGAAAAAAAAAAAAAAGCTGAATTTCTTATAAAACACTGCTTTAATTCCAGACCTCTGGAGGTCAGGAAGCCAAATTCATGTTGTCTTTCTCTCTCATCCAATTATACATCAGGCTGCATGTCAAACTGGCTCTTGAACAAAGTTAAGACACCCTGTAAGCCTACCTAATATAGCCTAAGTTGAGACTTTATTACCTTATTACCTCCTGCTACCATGCCTGTTTACAAAAGGTTCACTGGGGCAGTGAACTGGCACTCCATTCCCTAGTTTGGGCTGAAAAACCAGTAATCCGGGAGCAGCAATTCTGCTGTCCCGTGGGATTGCCCAGTTCTCCCAAGCAAAGAGCCAAGGATGGCAAGGGGATAGTGCATGAGTTGATAGTATTAGGATCTCTAACAAGCACACAGCACACTTCTTTACACATCAGCAGTCTTCCCCAGTGCTGTTTACTGGGCTAGCTCTGTGTAAACAGCCTGACATCTGTTTGTATGAGAAAAGTAAAGCTTTGCTAAAAGGCTAGATTAACCTTTGAGGCAAATTTAGAAGAAAATTTGAAGAAGAAATCTGCAGACAGATTGTCTACATTATGAATGCTAACAGTAGGCAAATAGCTTTTTTGCCACATATTGTCCCTAAAGCCATAGCAGTGTTTCTAAGATCTAACTTTGATAAAATAGAAGTTGGAGCACATGTTGCGGAACTCCTTGAGGGTAAGGGTTTTTTTTTTTTTCAGTCTTTGAAGACTACAGCCTATGTAAATGCATGCACACTTTGGCAATCACAGGATCAGATCATTTAGAGACAATATATATCCATATATATTGGTCCCTGCCAGAAAATTCTTCTTCCTATAGTAACAGATTTCTTAATATTTTGACCTAGGTTAGTGTCAGTGTTGTAAGAACTGGAAGTCAGTGCGAGGAAACTCAGCTTGCACACCCAAAATCATCATGCTAGGACATTTCATTTTTTTAAAGAGGAACTCTATGTTTTTTTAAAAAAAGATAAATGTATTAATTTTTGAATGTTTTGAAATGCACATATCTGAAGCTATGGTCCTAAATTTATATATTGCAGCCTAAATAAATGACTGAATCACTCAAATGCTGAGTGATCACTTTTCCTATTAGAGAGAATAGAGATATTTTCAAGTTAGAACACTAAATCGCTTTTTAATTTGTGGATCTAGAAATTAAGGATTTGATATTTTCTAATTTGAAACCTAGTTCCTCAGTGAAAACAAATTATTCAGGGTTATTGCCTAATTGGAGGGTTTAGAAGATGCAAAGATACAAAGATAGAGCAAATGGCATTTTCTTTTCAAATTTCTTCTATTTGACCAAAATACTGCACGTGACAGAAAATAGTGCAATCATATTTAATGTGTAGCTTGATCTTTGCTCAGCCAATGCTGTACTGTAATTTTTCCTATTACAGTTATATTTTCTGCTCTTTC